TACAAAGCAGACACAAGCTCCAAGAGTGAGTTCTCTCCCTCTGCACTTTTCTATACTGCAAATCATTCATATCATCCTAGACAATGACAACAGCACAGCAGTTGATCTGGCAATGGAAAATCATCACCTAGATATTGTGACATTGCTAAATGCAACAAATGTGGGCACCACATGTAAGTGGTCTGTATCCACCAATCTTTCATACTTCTCAATGTCATTACTAGCTTGAGTACCAAGCCAAAACTACACTTACCACTATTCCTCCCACTGAACATATCTAATTCTTGAAAAGTAGAAAAAGAATTAAAAAAACAGTTCTCATGGAACATCACACTTTTTTAGTTTTATTGTTTTTAGTTCTTCATGTAGTAGAAATATCACAACAAAAAAACTTGACTCCTTGGCACCACCAATTTAATAATTTTGACAAAAGCATTTGAAAGCAGTAACATTCATATTTAATTCCAGAAGAGAGAGAGAGTGTGTGTGTATGTGTGTATGTATTGTATGTAGGTATGTATGTATGGAGGAGAATCCGGTATCCAGCTCCGGCCGGGTATCATCAATAGCACTGTTAGAAAAGAGACAAGTCAAGGAAAATAATAACGTATAGTAAACAGGATCGAGGGAGAGGCGCAGTCAAGCATGCTTTGCGACTGAAAATGAAAATATTCATAATGAGAAAAGAAAAACCTAGAGTATGATAAAAAAAAAAGAGAGAGGTCAAGGGGGGTGGGTGGATCATATATAAGCCATCGCTGGAATATCCGGTCTCGAATCTGTCACATTCTGTCGTTTCGCGTTGGCGTGGCTGACTTGTGGTTGAAAACGGGTAGGGGTAAGGCAGCGAGGAAGCGAGGCAGACATTCACTCTTCCTCCTCTTCCTCCATAACATTATGCAAAGGCGCTCCATGGACATACCGCCCCGGACTCGCACGGCCCGTCTCCTCAATCCCAATCCGCGGCGGCTCAACGAGCACAGGCTCATGTTCATGCGCCACCGCGACTCTCGGCGTAGGCATCGCAAGCGGAGCTGCCGCGCCGTCTTTCGGCAACGAGTGTGAGCGAACAGGAAGCCGCGAGGGCTGGAGGGGAGCAACGGGGATCGGAGCGGGCATCGGCATAGGCGACGAAGAAGGTTTAGGTGAAGTCGCTCGCTCTCTCTCGCGATACATCTCGATCAACGCTGCGGTCTTGCTCATCGGGACCGACGACACCGCTGGCTGTCCGTTCCCATTCGTCTTCGGGGCATCAACTTTTGCCGGCTCGATCTTGATCACCGGAGGCGCAGGCGCGGGCGTGGGTGCAGGTGCGGTCTGTACAGGCGGGACAGGCAACCTCCTAAGAGGCTGTACCGTCAGACCCGACAACGGCTTATCATCCTCATCGCTATCCGCATCATACGCCAGCCTCACATCCTTACCAGCACCACCCTCCTCCTCCTTGAGCGCATGCTGAGCCTTCACACCCGGCCTGCGATCAGGATGCAAATCGAAATACCCCATGCGCCGCTGATTCTTCGCCAGAAGCCGCGCCGTAATCGGACTCGACTGTATCATCTCCTCATCATCCACCGGCTCCGTCTCCGGCCCCTCATTCGTATTCGTATTCGTATAATCGCTCTCCTCGCTCGTACGCAGCACCGCATCATCGACCTCGTCCGGATCCACACCCACGCTATGCAGATGTAAATGGTCCAGCCCTCCTTCGGGATCACGATCCACCCGCTCACGCTCACGACCACGATGCACACTCTCCATCTCCAGCGACGGCGACGGCGTCCGCTCCCTCACACCCGCCAACACCTGCGCAACCTCCAAACTCACCACATCCGGATCCGGACCCGGACCCCCACGGCTCCTCAAACCCATCTCTGCCTCCTGATCCCCCATCCTCCGCCTCTGCGACCCGACAAGTATATCCACCCACCCCTCATCGTCCCTCTCCCTCCCCCTCTCTCTCTCCTTCCCCCTCTCCCCCCTCTCTTCCTCACTCCCACTCCCACTCTCCCGCGCCAACCGCACCTCAAACTCGACGCTCGAATACTCGGCAGGCTGGATCCCCCCCGCTCTGCTACTGCGTCCCCCGCCCGGACTCGGAACGGGAAGCCGAAACCGCGAGGAGCGCTTCGACGCTATGGAGGAGGGCGACTTGGTCGAGTCAGAGTGCATCTCGTCGCTTTTGGGCGCGGGAGGGTGCGGGTGCAGGTTCGACTGCGGTGGGGGGTTCAGGTTCGACTGCGGTAGCGGATGCGGGTGTTCAGGCGCAGGCGCATAAAGCGGGGCCGATATACTTGGTTTTCCCACCGGCGTCGACGGCGCTGCCAACGCCAACGCCGGCGCCTTCACTTGCGGTATCGGTATAGGCAACAACGGCACCTCAGGCGGAATCGACACTCTCGACGGCGGCGGCACCTTAACCGACGCCCTATTCTCCAACCTAATAACCTTCGTCCCCCCTCCCCCTCTCAAAATCTCCTCAAACTCAACCTCCCTATACGTCGGGCTGTGCGGGACGTGTCCGACGACGTACGGGCGCCCATTCAGCGTCGGCGCCTGTTTCCATCCTTTTGATTTTGAGCTACCCGAGGAAAATATCGACGGAAGGCGCCGGCGTGTCGATGGTGGGATCGCGAGTTGTTGTCTGTATTCGAGCGGGACGAACTCTTCGAACAGTATGAGACTCGTTGATGTGCGTGGATCGGAGCCGCCGGACGCTGTACTTCGATTAACGGGTAGAGACTTGAATTCGACCTGTGTGTGTATCGTGTATGTAAAACACCGATCCAATAAGACGCGAAAAATAATAATAACGCACAAGAGCCCAATTACAATCCCTATCAAGCTCCTCGGACCTCTCGAGGTCCATCCATCCGCCTCCATACACGAGATCACAAAAAACATCCACAAACGGCTCTTCGATGACTTCCTCACTGACGACGACCGGCTCCGTGTCCCATCCGAACGGCGGGAGCGCCTTTTCCGTCTTTTTTAGCTTCTTCGCGATCTCGGCGTTATGCGCGGGCCACGCGGATATCGTCTTGGCGACGGGGGTGCTGAACTGAAGCGTCGCACTGAGAGGAGCATCGGTACGTGTAAACCCTGTCGACGAGAAGTCCATCCATGTAAGAGATTCGCGCTTCGCGGAACGTTCCTGAAAGAAAACGCGAAAGTCAGCCACAGGGTTGTTTTATGTACACACACGAATCAGGAAACGAGCATGATAGACGAAAGAAGAAGAAAAAAACTCACCGTTCGAGCACTCTCGGTCAAGTCAAACTGTAACTTCTTCTCGTCCTCGAGGCCACTAAAGCCCATAGACTCAAATTCTCCCCATTTCAGATCCGTCAAGCTCCTGAATCTATCATCGCCGGTACGCGTATTCAGCCCAAGCCCAAAATAGTCATTATTATTATCTGACGTGTTCGTGCTGGTGCTAGTGAGCGACGAGCCATACGACGAAGACGATGACGCAGCACCCAGTCCCGGGGCCGAGAGCACGCCCGTCTCGGGATGAAAGTTGGAAGGCATGTCCATGCGCTTCCTATACGCGTCCGAGTAACGGGGAGGGAGCTTGAGAGTTGGTGGGGCGATGCGTGACCACTCCTTTGAGACGAGGAGGCCGTTCTTGGAAGGCCCGGACGCGGACGACTCGGGGCGGTAGGCCCACGCAGCGGCGGTCCTGACGAGGTCGGGGGAGTACATACGAACGTTGCGACGCACACTCATGACGCGCACGGTGCGGACGCCACGGCGGGGCTGAGGTTTCTGAGCGGCGGCCGAGGCGGGAAGCATGGCGGGGTAGCCCTTGATCCATTCTTTAAGACGCACGGGGACGCCAAGGGCGGCGGCGCTGGTGGCGTCTTGCCAGCGGATAAAGACGAGCTGGAGGTGCTCCATGGCGTTGACGGCGCGGAGGTAGTGGGTGTAGGTATGGTGGAAGGCGAGGGTGGCGGGACCGAGGCCAAAGATGAGGGGCCCGAACAAGGGTGAGAGTGTGGGAGGAGTATGGCCAGAGCTCGTGCTGTTGGCGGTCAAGCGGGACAAAAGAGTGAGGAGTGTCACAAGAAGGGTTTGAAGGACTGGATTCAAATCTTGAAGAAGTGTAGCAAAGTGGGCCGGCGGGTATCCTTGGGCTGCAAAAAAAAAAAAATGAAGAGGTTGGGAAAATTAGCAGGGTGGGGGTATACGCACCTGCTTCAGAGACGCGGAATTCGACATAGCGGTCCCACGAGAGGAGTCCGCGCACGTCCTGGCCGCCGACGGATCGGATGGCTCTGGCGAGGCCCCAGCGCAAGCACATACCGAGCTCATGGGGACCCGCAAAACGAGCCTCGTCTCTCCAGCGGGATTCAGCGTCGGCAGAGGCCTGGGGCGTGCAGGTGGCAAGGAAAGCTTGAATGAGCTTCTTGATCGCGGACGAGGAGACATCCAGGGCAGTGGTGGAAAAGATAAAGGGGGTGGTGATGCCGCCTCGTGTGCCGAGCTCGTCAGAGACGACGATGACGAGACGAGAGACCTGCTCGAGGCCGAGAACGACATGGCGGTGGTAGGAGAGGTAGCCGTAATCGCGGTCCTGGGACGAGGGGGACTTTGGGGGGTCGAGGCTGAGGGGGAGGAAGCTGCCGTCGGGGATGGGCGGGGGGATGTCAGCGGGGAGGTCGTAGTCGCGTGGGGCCTTTGACTTCTTGCGGTCGGTTGCGCTGAGGCGGCTAGAGATGCGACCGAATTCGTCGAGGTCGGGGAAGGAGTGTTGTTTTTTTGGAGTGGAATTTGTACGGGAACGAGAGAATAAGCTGGGCATTAGTGAGAGTCCAGCTGTCAATTGTGCTCAAAGTGCTGCCAGTGCTCGCTGCCAGTTCTCGCTGCCAGATGTGCCGCCAGTTGTTGTGTTCGCGCTGCCACTTGTCGTTGATCCTGCCCAAAAGTGTTCGGAAAATGCCGCCTCTATCCGCGCTTCCATGCCCCCTGTCCGGCGCCCTAACCAACACCCAAAAACATGTCCTGTGGAGGATTCGAACTTCCGGCTTCTCGGAGCCCCTATCCACAACGAGATGATTTAACCAACTAATCGAACAGGACCTGTTAATGAATTGCTACCGTCAAAGTCAAACCCAATATCCGCGGCATCAAAACAAGGCACAGGCGGTTATCGGGCCGCCACCCCGTCATGCTTGACGCTGTCTACATGGACCGAATGACACAGAACAATACAACTTCAAACCATGCGATAGACATTCAAATTTCCTCGCTGTCTTTCCCCTTGATCACTAGCAAGCGGACACAGACTCACTCGCCAACATACGGAACGACCCCGACTGAAACGAGTATCAAGTGTCTGCCAGTGGACACTGGAGAGGGATCCAACACCCGAGCTTTCTCCGATTTCTGTGGTTGGCGATACACAAATGTCCGAAAGAGAGAAGAGCCGTTGAAATTTTGGAAATTGGGCGTACACGGTAGCCATGGACAGCGAGCATAACACGGGTCAACTCGAAAGTCCTAGAGGACCCAATTATGGTCCCAAGATAGCACACATATAATCAAATCCTATCAACGAAGATGTGAGCGAGACTTATGGGCCCTATCTCCCCGGTAGAAACTAAATTTACCCGAGGACCCAAGCTGCTTTGAATTCGGGAAATTCTGGTGAACTTAACAGGTATAAATGGTGTTTATCTTTTGCCTCAAAGCAAGGCTCTAACGAGGTAATGCACCCAGGAGCCATGGTCCAGCGAGTTTTTTTTTTTTACTTGCGACTCGTGATGGACCCTTGAAATATGCAGTAAAAACATACAATGATAAATCCAGAAAGTATTCAAGCATAATTGAATGAAACTAGAAGAATAATAGACAGCTTGGCTTGCTGGAATTGTGAATCGTCACCATGAGCAAGTGTCTCCGGACTCTGCTACTCCGTAGAGGAACTCGGAAAGGCCCCCGGTCTAGGAGGCACTAGGGGGGTAAGGTACACAGAGGGACAGGAGTACGCCATGCTAAGCGTATCGCGAACGGCCGCACAGGGCAATGAACAACAGCTGCCTCCAGACACTAAGACCCAAATATAGTCATCACGATGATGCAGCGAGACAGTCAACACAACAGATCAGATTCGGAAAGGTTGCCAGTGAGCATTCAATCTCAACGGGTATGACAGCGAGTGACTCGAGATGTGATGGATCAATGACGAGCATATGTGATTGATACACACGTCAAGATTGCGAGTACGTAGAAGGTTGTACTAGGGGGTCGGTAGAGCTAGGAGAGTTAGGCGTATCGGTCTGTCCCCTGTCGTTCACTAATTTTGTTGTCATGGGATCTTATCTAGACCGCTTGTTGGGCATTTTGTGAGAAGGCCATGAGGCAGGGACCAAATCAACTGAACAGATCGATACCCATGTCTCGTGGAGCATTCTTCATATGACGCGGCTGTCAGTCAAGTGAGCAGATTGATACCGCCATGTCAGAAAGGATTTTAGAGTATGTATATAGGGTTGGTTCAACTTAAGGCGAGTCTCTTCTTAAATAGCATTGTCCAATGGTTTCGTAGATCGTGGACACGTTGGATAGAAGACTAGCGCCGCCGGCTGACAGTTATCCATTAAACGCGACCTGACGCATTAGATATTCCCGTGGAGAGCGGGAGAAGTGAAAGTTTGACTCCATTGGTCTATCGGGCCGTACTTCCCGCTGACACTGCATAGTTCACAAACGCATTCGCACACACTCTCTAACCCGCGACGGTCGACGCGGTATGTTCTGGTCCATAATCTACTTTCTGAAAAACATCAATCCAACTCGTCTGATTTGCATTTTAGTTTATATATCCCAGGGATCAGCGCTCAGGCATAGTATCGCCATGGATGATGATACTCGGATCCGTGCGGACCGCCGTTGTCCCCCCCTCAGACGATTGAATCTTGATTGCTGTTGAATAGAACGACTCGGACGTTTTTATAGTGCTTGTAGCAACAAGTCGTGAAAGCTCCTATCACATTTGATCATCTTCGCATGTGTGCTAGCTAGCGTGTCGAACGAACTTGATTGGAATCTATTTTCTAAAAAAGCTAGTAAGTAAAAAGACATCACGTCGGCTGTCTGTAACTTACTCGTGGTCCAGTGTTCACTCCCAAGTCTTTGGCGTCTCGCGAAATGTCAGTGGCTACTATCTATCTCTCGCCTCTGACACTACGTGAGTTCGCTGTCACTTACCAACTTTGCAATTCCGTTCCCAACAACGTGTCCGCACATGACGCATATGAATTCATTGCATATGTGTGATTTTTCTCTTTTTATTCATTTACCTCTTGCTAATAGGAGATTTGGTATCCAAGAATCATGCCGGCATCACAATCTCCACCATCCAGGAGAACCCCACTCGGGCTCGGGGTATCGATGCAAGTCGCACCTTTATGTTAGGTTAGTAGTACAGTATGTGCGACTTGTTGTTGCCTGACAGTGACGTAAATCTCCGAGGGCAGTGAAGTTTCCTATATATCTCATCGGCACCTTGCATCATTGGCTTCGGACCGCACTTTGTCCACCAAAGATCTCCTCCACCCGCCCAGGGCCGCATTTACCTAGACCACGCAAAGCGCTACCATAGCCGGCTCCGAGGGGAAAATCCCCTTTCACAAACGCTCTCACGTCTGTTCATGATTGCTTCTCAGGGATTTAACGTGTTTCCTTCTGTACACTCCCATCGAAAAGATGATCAATTCGAAGTAATCATTCGCGGCAAGTTGTTCTCAGCGTATACACTCCGACGTTTCAGCTCTCTGATAATAGTCGTATAGTGTGTGTATATATAGCTAGTGTGGAGTGATATTAAGGTTGAATTGACAGGCCCTCGATAATACTCACCTTGGTCCCGAGTATCCATCCTCCGTTGTCTGATTAGCGGTTTGGGTATACTGTCACTGGTAGTGTGCTCGCTCTGGAAATGAATCTGGACGAGCAATTCTTGGTGGTCGGATCGCGATACATTGCAGGTGAGTGCGCTCGTTCTGTAAACCCTTCGTCTGTACTCATCGTGAAAAATCGACATTAGCCGCAGGCGTTGTGGTGCGTTCTTTAGCGGATACTTTGACGAATCTCAAAGATGTTCATGAGTCTGATGCTTTTAGGTTTTACTCTACAACCACCTCCTAACGTTCGATGATGAAGTGAAGTACATCTGGAATGCGAAGTGGTCGATGCCAAAGCTTATGTTCTTGATAATTCGATATGCGATTCCGTGCAGCATAGTGTGGCATAACCATCGTGAGGGTTGACTTTATTCTCGTGATTCTGCTTACCTTACCATTGGATGCTCCCGTTAGAGCTAAGTATGATAGGGGTTGGAGATCTAACAGATCAAGTGAGTATTTGTCACAATTATGATTGTGGTTTTGAATGCTGATCATTACGCAAGTCGTAAGTACCTATAACAGGATTCACGACTTACCGTGCAGAATGGCTGATCTGGTTATAAGCTGTCGAGTATGGTTCCCCACTGCGGTACACATCTATTCCTCCCTAAGCTGCTCACCACTCAGATCACCATAGGTATGCCTTTGCATTGCCACCGCAGGTCCCATGCACTGTGAGCGGTCCCCTTGGTGTCGATCATAATTCATATGAACCATCCAATCCCTGATGTCAACTGTCAGTTTTCCTAATGCTGCGCTTATGGCTCCTGTCTCGGCGCGATCGCCGCCTTGTCTTCGCGACATTATGCGCATTCTTTTTGACAGAGATAGCCCTCGTGGCGTTTGGCATCGCTGTCACCGTCAAGATGACGCGTGAGTCCACAGCTCCTCCCTTTCGCCTATAGATAGGTTTTGAATTTCTTTGGATGGTCGACAGGATTCGTCGTCTCTGTGTCGCTCAGTAGTCCGCATCCGAGTATGCTACCGCGCACGCGATGTATTCTAATAAATCGTGATATCCTTTGGACTCCCTTTGCCCCTGGGGTGAGTACTGCATTCTGAAACATCTCTCTCAGCCTCAGAATCGTCCCACTATATAGATGGCATTTGAAACGTTTGGACTTGTGGCAATCTTTCTGCGCTACCTCTGGATCTATAGAAAGGACAAGACAGAATTCCGCCAGATATTCTGTGTTGATGGTGTTGGGAAAGTAATAGTTAGTACTACCTTTCAAACCAGCCAACTTCTATATTTCTTACCACACCTATGCTATAGCTTGCCTTCTGTAAGCAAAGAGCACCTGGAGAGGTCTGGCGGACACTGAAGATTTAAGATAGGCCTAACCGCCGCGAAATTCTTGGGGACAGTCTTAATACCGGTAAAGAAGATCCTGATATCTCATTGGATATTACCTTTGACTACCTTGTCGCCTAGCTTTCTGTTGCCTTCTACTACGTGATGTGTGCCATCTACTTCCTTCTCTGACTGAGGCTTCGGGACTGACTCTACATTATCAAGCTTCCTTTGGTGCGCGACTACGGTGCTAGTCACGAAGATGATCCTGCAGCTACGTCAGCATGGCATAGTACAGAGAGAGATCGAAGCTCTGAACGCAGAGAAGGATAAGACAAGATTAGGCTCGAAGGAACGAGACAGCACCGATTCATGATGTTGACGAAGGAATCGAGAGACTTGTACAACTTCTATGCATCTGCGACCCAACAAATAGTGGATGGGACCTTTGTATATTACTTGAAACTTTATAACTACATCTTCTCGTCTCTTTTCTAGGGCCCAGGATGGCCGCATTCTCTGTAATTCACAATTGTATTATCATCCCACCAACTACATAGTGAAAAGAAAATCGCACTTAAATTCGGCTTTGGAATAAATACCCTTACAGGAATAGTCGAGGATTTCAAGCCATATCGAGTTCGTTCTCAAGAATCCATATGCCCTAACTTAGTACCCAATGTTGATACGCTTGCTGCCGAATTTGTCCCAGTGATGCAGAACCGCATCAAAAATAAAATGCGCCACATCTTTCCTTGACACCGTCCACGCCGTAAACTCCTCCTCACTTACTCGGTACGGCGCCTCTGAGCTGGGCTGATCTTTTACTTTGTCCGCCATACACTCCCCGTCTGTAAGGAATGCAGGTCGCACAACGA